ACTTCCATAGTGATACCACCTTGGAAACCTAAGGAGGGGTCGTTATGAGTCGGATCCAACTCAATGGCAATGTGTTTGGTTTGGTTTGGTTTAATGGCCAATGATTATGAGCATCTCTTCATGTAATATCTGGCCACCTGAATATCCTCCTTGGTGAAGTGTCTATTCATGTCTTCTGCCCATTTTTCAACCAGATTGTTAATTCTTTTGGTGCTGAGGCATTGGAGTTTTCTACAAATCTTAGAGATAAGTGCCTTGCCAGATATGTAATTATTGGCAAATATGAATTTGTTGCTGTCATTTTTGTTATGTGCTTTCTCATGGTGTCAGTTTCTTTGTTCCATATAATTTTCTATGCTGAGCTCATTTTGTTTATTAATTGTGTTATCACTTCCTTCATTGCTATTGTTTTAGTATTTGCTGAATATTTATGCTGGTCCTCTTTTTTATTTTGATGTGAAAGTTTATCATTTTCTTCGAGGTTACCCTGTGATTTATAGTTTTCTTCCCAAGTTTAGAACACTCTGGTCTATCTTCTAGCTCCCACAGCTAGGAAGTAGCACTGCTGGGTTGCAAAAATGGACTTTCTGACTCCACAGCCCAAGCTAGAACAGCTACCCTAAGTGTTTTGGAGGCAATATCTGAGTGCTCTAGACCTGCGCACAGTGGCAGATATAGTTTGGTGACCTTTAGACCACTCGTGGTCTTCTGCTCTTCCCTATTCTTTGGTACAGACAATTGAGGATTTCTCAAAGGTATGGAATGTATGTAACTTCTTGACACGTATCCCAGTTCCATCTTTTAACCTCATTGCCTCCCAGAGAAAATCCTGGAACCACCACTCCCTACAATGTATTTATAATTCACACCTTGGTAGGCTATATGCATGTATGCATGCATGTGCACACACATGTGCACACACACACTCAGCACACACCATTTTATGTTTTGTATTTGATCCAATTTAGAAACAGCACCCATGCCCTGTGCATGTACAGCCTCTGTTTCATGCTCCACGGGGGATCCATGTTCTCTGTGATTCATCCTTGCAAGGTGGGTCATGTGTCCTTTGCCTTTTCCTCTGGGATCCAGTGCGTGCAGCTCTATCAGCCTCCTGTCCTGTGACCAACACCCAATCCAGCTCATTAGAGAGACAGAGTTGGTCAGCAGAGGCACTTGAAGCCAGGCAGAGGGACGGCTTCCCTAATGCTGGGGGAGGTGTTTGAGGTGCTGCCTTTGAGAGGTTATTGGGCAGGGCTGAATTAGTTTAAGGAGCTCTGGTGGTGCAGTGGTTAAAGCATTCAGCTGCTAACCAAAAATTTCAAACCCACCAGCTGCTCTGTAGGAGAAAAATGAGGCAGTCTACTTCTGTAAAGATGTACAGCCTTGGAAACCCTGTGGGGCAGTTTGACTCTGTCCCAGAGGTTTGCTATGAGTTGGAATCAATTTCATGGCAGTGGGTTTGGTTCGAGTTTCCTCTCAGTTTCAGATCCCACAGAAGCAGAGTCTGGAAAGAACATGACAATGAGTGAGTTACACTATGGGCAACTGAGGCTCACTCCTTCTGGAAACCCTTGGAAAGAATGAATAGAACACACTTCAGAATTGTACTACTGAGGAGGAAGCTGGGGGCATTTATCCACCAGCTCCCGTCCCTTTTGGGGGTGTTAACTCTCCAGCACTTCTTGCCAACTCCTCTCTGGTGCAGAGAATGCTCCAAAGCTCTTAGGCAGAGAGAGGAGGCCTTCCAAACGAATGGGAATTATCCATCTAAGATGTTGATGTCTCTGGCATGGGCAGGGCATCAATAGTACCTCAAGAAGAATACCAAGTCCTCAGTATCCCAGTCCTGGGATTCCCAAGGCCTCTAGCCCTCCCTCCTCTCTGCCATCAGCTACTGGGACCTCTACCCTCCAGGCTGCAACCATTCCTTTGATGTAGCACAGCCTGGTGTTTTCAGCCCTTCTGGGGAAGTTCATCCTCGCATCTCCTCTATAGGCTTCCTGGTGCAGCTGGATCCTGGCTGCCATTTGTGGCCTCCCTTTTCCTCTGCTCCCAGGTATATGTGCTCCTCCGTGCTGCAAAGAGCGCTGGCTGCCCCTCTTGTCTGGATTCTGCTGGCCCTCCTTGATGGGAAGTGTTTCGTGTGTGCCTTCAGCAGCTCCGTGGACCCTGAGAAGTTTCTGGATCTTGCCAACATGACCCCCAGCCAGGTGCAGCTCTTCCTGGCTAAGGTGCCCTGCAAGGAGGATGAGCTAGTCAGGGACAGCCCTGCCCGAAAGGCAGTATCTCGCTACCTTCGGTGCCTGTCGCAGGTAATTGGAGTGGTGGTCACCATTAGAGTCCCCTTCATTGCCTCTGGCATCAGTGGTGGAGGCCAAGACCAGAGGGCCCAGTATTCCCTTCACCACAATCCCTGGCCCCAACTGCCTTCCCCAGGCCTGGCAAATATCCTGCATTGGTTCCAAAGGAGGTAGGGTGAGGTGTTGTTACCTGAAAAATGCGAGAGTCCAGCCCTGGAGCGGTGCAGCCAATAGTCCACGCCAGAGTTCAAGGAGGAGAGAAGAATTTTAATCATAAGATGCATCAGTGAGAGACGGATGGGGTCTCAGTGACTCCAGAAACAACCACTTTGCTCAGTGCTTACAATTAAGGGATCTTATATCCAAAGGAAAAGAGACATAGCAAGCATGTAGAGTAGTTAGCAATTTTCCAAAAGCTATATAGGACAATGGGTTATTAAGAAAGAATGTTTCTTGTGAGTTCCCAGCAGTCAAGTAATCCTTACGAGGCTCCATCAGCGTTTGCCAAAGTACAGGTGGCTGGTCCCAAAGTCCAGCCCAAAACCCAGAAGGCTTTATTGACACAGGTGGCCGTGCCTTAGATCTCAGGGGTACAGCAGGAAATGATAACTGTATCTTAGAGAGAGAACAGTTTAATTATAACACAAGGTTGAAGCCAGGCTTTACAGAAATGGCATCTTAACTAAAAATATGAAGTCTTACCTCATCAGTATGGACTCGGGGTTAACATCTTCTTCCTCCCACCACTAGAGCCCCAGCCTTGGGCTCTAGCCACCAAAAAGTATTTGCATAAATGCACTGCACAGAAAGCACCACTCAAAGGATGCAGATAATAGACAAATAAACCTTACCCTTTAGGAAGCTAAAACACGCTCATGGCAAATGTAGATGCAGTGGAGAGAAGACCAGAGGACTTGATTCTGGTCCAGACTGTGACCTTAGCCAAGTCCTCCTCCTTCTGGACCCCTGTTTCTCCTGAAAAACAAATGGAGGGGTCTTCTTCACCATGATGGTCCCTGTGGGCTCTATTCTCATTAATGCAGTGAGACTATCACGGGATATGCAGTCAGAGAGACCAGGGTTTGAGTCTCAATTCAGCAGTCCTGTCAAGTTAGCAAGTTGCTTGCTTTTCTGCTCCTCGTGTGTGAAATACTGAGCTTAAAATTTGTATAAAGAGGGTTCGTATGAATGGGCAAGTGAAAGAGTTTTGTAGATTGTTGAAATCATATCTGCAAATGATAAGGATTCAAGTATGTTTTTGTTTGGGGTGTAGAGGAGTGTCTCTCTGTATCAGGTCACACGGTCACTCCAGGTTTAAGTCAGGTCTGGAAGAGACTGTAGTTCAGATGTGTACAGAGGAGGGGGGAAGCCACAGGTGTGAGCTCTAGCCTTAGAGAACAACTTCCAGTTTTTCTCACCTTTGCTCATGCTGGTTTCTTGCCTGTTGATACCTTGCTGTTACTACTCATCCTACTGGTCTCGCTTCAATGCCATTGCCTTTCCTGAGCCCTCATGTTCAGGTTGGGTGAGTTCCTCCTCTGGATTCCCATGACTTCCTGTCCCCCCTCCTGTGGCACTTTGTCACTCATCATCTACTGTCCATTCCCCCCCATCAAAGAGTGGCTCTGTGAGAACAAAGACTGGGCCCCCAGTACCTCACACCATGTACCACAAAATGTAGGATGGATGAATGCATAGATGGATGAAACAGATTTGAGAATGAAGGAAGGGATGAGTCAAAAGAGGAGAGAATGGCAGATGGATGGAATGGTGGATGATAAAGATTGGGAAGATGGATAGATAGGATGAAGGATGAACAGATGGAAGGATGGCTGGGAGAATAACTGTATAGGCAAATTATGGATAGATAATCAGATGAGAATGGATGGATGGATGGATGGATGGAGATTGTTGGATATATAATGGATTCAAGGATAGGTGGATGAGTGGAAGGGAGAATAGAGGAATAGGTAGGTTGATAGACAGAGGGACAGATGGGAGGATGGTTGGGTGATGGATGGCTGAATGGAAGGACTGATTAATTTGAGAAAAGCTGGGAGGGATAAGTGAGGGGAGGGACTTTGGAGCACTTTTGCCACGCTGTGCATCTGCATCCAACCTTGTGTCTCCCCACCCATCAGGCCATCGGCTGGAGTATCACCCTGCTGCTCATCATTGCGGCCTTCTTGGCTCGATGCCTGAGGCCCTGCTTCGATCAGACAGTCCTTCTGAAACGCAGGTACTGGAGCAACTACGTGGACCTGGAGCAGAAGCTCTTCGATGAGACTTGCTGTGAGCATGCGCGGGACTTTGCGCACAGGTGCGTGCTGCACTTCTTTGCCAGCATGCAGAGTGAGATGCGGGCATGGGGGCTGCGGCAGGAGACGGGAGGCAGGCACCTTGAGCCCCCAGAAGTACCTGAGCCTGGGGAGGGACTGGATGGCCATAGCGTGAAGGCCCACCTACGTGCCATCTCCAGCAGAGAGCAAGTGGACCACCTCCTGAGCAGCTGGTACTCCAGCAAACCACCACTCAACCTAGCATCATCCCCTGGGTTCTGGGGTGGCCTTAGCCACCGTGCCCCCATGGTGGCACCAGGCACCAGGCTGTCCCAGCACACTGATGTGTAGTGAGTCCCCCAGACCTGAACGGTGGCAGTGTGGCAAGTGAAAATTCTGCAGGGACATGGATGTGGGGCTTTCTGGGCTGTGGGAACCCCAAGGCAGGCGCCCTAACCCTTGTTGGCCTCCTTTCCAAAACAGCCCCATCCCTCCCCAGGTTTCTGAGTGTGTCCTCATATGTGCTGTCTGGCAGTGCTCCACAAAACATGAATGTGTTCACTGTTGTCCTGGAGACCTTGTTACAGGCAGGCTCTCATTCAGGACTGGGTCTGAGATTCTGCATTTCTAGCAATCTCCCAGGTGTTGCGGATGTTTCCTGTCAGTGGACCACACACTTTGAGTAGCAAGAGTCTAAATAGATCTGTGATGGGTTCTGGGTGCTAGATGTCTGGATTCTAATTTTTTAATAATAGTAATAAACACACGCTTATATGATGGTTACTATGTGCCAGGCATTGTTCTAACTTCTTTACATATATTAACTCATTTAATCCCTATGACAGCCTTATAAGGTAGGTATGATTAGCCCTATTTTTGAGAAGAGAAAACTGAGGCATTCAGAGGTTAAGTTGCAGACTTTTGAGTCTACTCCAAACTACTGCATTAATCTGCTCTCTCAATAATTCTGAGTATGTATTTGGTTTCAGTGCTGTGGTTGAATTTCCTGCAGTTTCCAGCAGGGTTCTCAGGAGTTCTAGCAAATTCTGCTCATTGAATTCCTCTGGAAAGTACTAGTTAGTGCTTCTTGCTGGCAATTGCAGATGAATAGTTTTACGTTTCCCCATTGAGGGGATTTTTCTGTTTTTGAGTGTTAAGGGGCTGACCCTTCTTCCAGCTCCCATCTTCCCAAGTTCCACCAATTCTTTTTCTAGCCAACAAGGCTGAGCAGCCCTGCCTGGTCCACCAGGGTTAACTGTGCTGGAAAACATGCCAAACAGTCTGTGGCAGCCCAAACCGGAAGGGTTTGGGGCAGAGCCCCTCCCTGACGACTCACACACACACATCCTGCATTCTGCCTCTATCAGCAAAGATGGTGGCCATGCACATGTGGCTCTGCGGTTTCCCCCATGCCTTTCTGGTCCGCAGGGCCTGGGGTTGCTGCACAGAAGCCCCAGGATGCCCCCCTGAAGCCCAGTGGCCCCCATCAGGCCATCTCAGCTCTCCTGAGCTCTAATCAACGGGTCCTGTGAGATCAAACAATCCCTACAATTCAACCTCCCTGACCCCCCCTCACCCCCACCCCCCAACTCCCGGATGTGGTCAAGCCATGCAAACTTCTGAAATGGTACTGGGGTGGGGCAAAATTTAGGCAAAATTAGCAGTGACTGAGTGGGGAGGGAGGAGGGAGAACTTGGAGGGAGTCCAGTGAGCTCCCGGGCTGGAGAAAGACAGGCTCAGGGGCTCCACTCTGGGCTGAAGGGAAGCAGTGTCTGGACCGTTAAAGGCCCCTGGCTGCGATCAATACTCTTGCCTTCTGCTAACAAGCAGTTATTGAGCACCTACTGCATACTGTGCCAGGGATAATGAAATGCAGAATACACAGATGACCTGCCCCTGCCCTCAAGGAGCTCACTGTCTGGTGGGGGACAGAGATGGGTGTGAAAATCATTAAAATCAAAGCAAAAATGTGTAAGTGCTAATTGAGGCAAGCTATGGGCCACAGGGATTCAGCAGGGAGAATAATCACTCCAAACTGGGGTATCAGGGAAGGTTTCGTGAAGGAGATACGTGCCATCTGAGTGGGTCCTGAAGGAGGGGGAAGGGTTTAGACAAATGGAGGTAGATGGACAGAGGGCAGAGCACATCGAGGAAGGAAACAGTAAGAATAAAGGCATGGGGTTTGAAGAGGGGTACCACATGTTTTATTTATTCATCCAACAAACATTTATTGATTGCCTAGAGTAAGCAAATATTTACTGATTGCCAAGAGAGTAAGCAGATATTGTTGTTGTTAGGTGCCATTGAGTTGCTTCCCACTCACAGTAACTCTATAGGACAGAGTAGCACTGTCCCATAGAGTTTCCTAGACTGTAATCTTTATGGGGGCACATCATCAAGTCTTTTCTCTCTCGGAACGGCTGGTAAGTTTGAACCACTGACCTTTTGTTTAGCAGCTGGGTGTTTTAACCATAGAACCACCAGTGCTCCTTAACAGACACATACCCAAAAAACAAAACCAAACTAGTTTTGACATTGAGTTGATTCCAAGTCACGTCAATCCTATAGGACAGAGTAGAACTGCCCCATAGAGTTTCCTAAACTGTAATCTTTACAAAAGCACATCCTTCTTCCATGGAGCAGCTGGTGGATTCAAACCCCTGACCTTTCAGTTAGCAGCCAAGCACTTAACCACTGCACCACCAGGACTCTAAGATACACATACAAAAAAAAAAAAAAAAAAACCCACTCCCAGGGGGTTGTATCCGACTCATAGCAACCCTTTCTTGGGTTTCCGAGGCAGTATCTCTACAGAAGTAGATTGCCCAGTCTTCCTTCTGAGGAGTGACTAGTGGGTTTGAACCTCCCGCCTTCTGGTTAGCAGTCAAATGCCTTAGGCACTATGCCACCAAAGCTCCCAAGATACACATAGTCCTATTTTAATGGAATTTCTAGTCTGGAAGGAGAAATAGAACATAACCAAGTTAAAAAAAAAAAAAAAATGGAGAAGTAATCAGACTACTCAGACAAGAGAAAAGAACTTTGGCCCAAGGGTTGAATGGCTCACTCCAAATGATGCCATCAAGCCATGCTCCCCAAGCCCAGCACCCAGTCACTCACTCTCTGGGTCCTCTGCCTTTGACAGCCTTCAGGTCCATGAAGACATTTTCTCCCACCCACTTTGCTCTCTTTTCCAGGTAATGCCTCTTTCCTTTTTTAACCATTCCCCAGATGATGTGGTTTGAAACCCCAAAACCTCTTTGCCATCATCCATCCACACTCCTGTTTGTTCACCTCTCTCTGAGAGAGAGATGCCTGGGACAGCACACAACACACCCCCAGGACTGAGAGACATAGATGAGAGGCTTCCACCTGGCTCCAAAAGACCCTCCCCTACCTGGAGAGCAGCTGTCTTGGGAGCCCAGGTTCACTCCCCAAGCCTCGCCCATGCTGGGTCATAGCCTTCTTGACCCAGGCCTGTGAGAAGGGGCTCTCTTCTGAGAGACACAGTGGCCAGTTGGGCAAGAAACAAAGGTTCTAGAAGAGTGAGCATTGGCTGTACCCGCCCGCCCCCAACCCTGTGCCTGGGCAGCTACACCCCAATCTAGACCAGTTCGGCATGAGGAAAGGAAGAGGGAGGAAGCCTTGAAGGTTTCCGCTCAGGATTTTTAACTTCATCCTGCTGGCAGTTGGGGATAAGAGATAAGAGCCTGGAGGCAAGGTCAGGAGGAGGAAGGATATTTGGTGTTGACCCACTGCAACGATGATGCCTGGAGCTGCAGGAATGGATGCGGTTGTCAGGGGAGAGAGGCTTGAGTGAGAAGAGGAAGGACCAAGAACTTTAGCATTGTGGAGGAGGAAGAGGAAGCAGCAAAGGAGAACAAGAGAAGTGATCACAGGGCCAGAGTCCAGAACAAAGCCAGGGAGGAAAGAAGTTCAAGATGGGGGGAAGATAACAAGTCCAGTGCTTCAGAGACCCAAGATGGGGAGGACAGAGTGAACTATACTGGTTATTAGCAACTGCTTGTGTCAGAGGATAGCTCACCTGGGAGGTGGGACAGGAAAAACAGACGGGTAGATTTTTGTAGGATTGAATCAATATAAATCTCTGGACGTCTGCCCCACCCAAGGTTATAAAAAGCCAAAGATTTGATGACTGCTCCAACTTATAATATTCATATGGGAGGGACCATCAGCATCCCATAGGGAAAGGCACCTGGACCCAAAGGCTGTGATAGGGAGAAGCAGGATGCTGTCCACACTAGCACACTTCCACTTCCAGGGTCTTGTAGAAAATGAAAGAGCTCTGTACTCTGCTTTCTCCACCCAATACATTGAGGCCACATGGCATGACTCCTCCTTACCTATGGTGGACCAGCTCTGTTGGGGCACTCAAAGGGGGCTGTAGGAGAGGAAGGGTACCCCTGAGGGACTGGAGATGAGCAATGGGAGATGGTCTGGAGTGGTAAGTGGTGGCAGAGCAGAGATGACACTGGGCTGCCTAGAAGCAAGTTTGAACATCCATCAACCTTTTGGGTCCAGCCCTTTCCCCCACCCACCCTCTCACACAAAAGACAGGTGCTTTTCAGCCCTCCCCACTCCTCATAAAAACCAAACCCACAGGGAAATCCCACACCAGAATGACGAGTACTGTTTCTTACTTCTCCGAGTTCTTGCCTCCCCACAAATTATCTTGGTCCAAGGCTTACTTCTCTAATTTGTTTACTTACTCATGCATGCATTCATTCAGCACTGCAATGCAGTGAATTATTTCATATGGGCCTTCTAGCCATAGTCTTTGTAACTCCCACCAAATGATTGGTTGGAACTATGAAAATGTGAGGTGCTTGTGGCCCACCAAGGGGATTGGATAGCTTGTTAATAATGTAAATAAGGTGCATAGCACCTCGTGGGGGTGGGACCATGCAAATAAAGAATATACAACCCTAATGAGGGGATTGGTCAGTTTCCCACTAGGCTTAAAACGAGCCATCCCAGAAGTGGGAAGAGGTGAATCTCACTACCCTCAAGAAAGAAGAGCCAGGAGTGGAGTGTGTCCTTTGGATCCGAGATCCCTGCGCTGAACCTCTTTGATCCAGGAAACAGAGAGCTGTGACACCAGAGACAGTGAGAGATGGCAAAAGGCAGCAACTGAGAAACAGCAGCAGCAGAGACAGCAGAACCAAGAAACTGGCATGAGACAGAGCAGCAGGCTTCCTGGCCCACAGAGTGAGAAAGCTGAGCGCTTTCCGGAATAAGGAGTGGGACCTCTGAGCACTTACCGGCAGAGCTAACAGAGCTTCGTAACACTTGGCCAAGCAAGGAAAAGATCAAGGGGCTGTAGGGTCTGA